CCAGGGAGGAGGATGGTGTGCTTACATTGAAATGGTTGTTATGGCAGCAGCCAGTACGGGCATCCTGACACTGGGCTCCAAGTGGGCACTCAGCCCCTTGCCCCTTTGCTTTGAAAGGGGAGGGGGGTACACCAGTTGATCTGATGTGACCAGCATTATTGGAAGCTTTCTGCTAGCTTTGACCTTGAGTGAGATCTGCATCCATGTAATAGCAGAGCTTATCAATGGAAAATGCTCCCCAAAAACATAATGACAGGCTGGGCTTGGCTCTAGCTAGAATATCCCAATTCACTTGCTTTTTTTTTTTTTTTTAATACATAGACAGGTCTGTTATTGGACAAGGGAAGCCTGCAGCTTATTCATGCACAAGGCAGCTGAGCGGTGTCTGGTCAATACAGAGAGAGATGTCTTTTGCCTTCCTTACATCTATGTGCTGATTCCGTTTTCTCTCCTCTTCGCTAGTGTCTTACATGTTGAGCAAACACATTCCTGTTAGTCATGCATCTAGTCATGATCACCATCATGTTGAAAGCAGCCATGGTAAATTAAGTGTGCTTGGGAACCTTTTTGCGTGTGCTGGTCGGATTAAGTAGCCTGGATTAGTCTCCTGGCTACTTACTATTTCAGATGGTGAGCCTCCCTATGCTTTATGCCAGGGACACCGCTATAATCTGCAGTTTACCAGCTACCGCTTCTGTCACACTTCCATGTTTTGTGTGGAATTCTAAACTATAGTTGGCTCAGGGGTAGCTGTTAGGTGGTTAAACTTGGAGATGTCATTGTTTTGTACAGTATTTCAAAATATATTTTTAGCAAGTGCTTTTCGCTTTGTCCCTAATCAAATAGTTCCTCGTATAAAATATTTATCGGCCAGATGGCTTAGTTGTATAATGGAAGTTGACAAAACTGAAATCTGCTGAGTATATGTTGGTTGTGAACACACTAATAAAAGCATATGTAAAAGTGTTTATAAGGTCAGAATTGTGCTGCAGGTGGCATGTACCAAACCGCCGTCATATTAGGCCATAATGCTGCACTGTGGGCTGATTTCCCACTTACTGATTTGGGGTCCATGGCAGGAGATTTGTTTCTTTTTAAAAACATTTTTTTTATTTGCTTGAATGATTAAAAGCTAGATGAGTAAAAAGATCTTGCAGTGTGAAACATACATGTATTGCCATTAATTAATAGCTGTGTGCATGCATTAGGTCAAGTGTCATAACACGATCAGTTAGAATGAATATCGACATAATGCTCTGGAATACGTTTTCCATTCACATGCTCTTCACAGCTAGTAATTCCTCAGGTGCTCAGTTGTGCTGAGCTTTGATCTATTGTCTTTGATCCTGTAGTTGGAGCAATCCTTGACTGTACGGTGGCTAAGATTAAGATGGTGGCATTGAGTGTAATGCTACAGTTAGTCTGAGGAACTGTCATCACTGCACTTATTTTTATGCTGCTATTACTTAGTATGTATGTTGCTTGCCTGTGGGGCTGAAAGATGTCCGTCACTATGAATTGTACCATGAAGGAGCTTAGTGCTGTTTTTGTTTTATTTACCTTATTTTCTACTCTAATGGTTTACCTATTGTTTGCTTTGAAATATTGTTTTTGGGAATGAAAAGACAAACGTTTGTAGTCTGTGATGTCAAGTTTACAACTCAAGCACCTCATTAACCTTATCAGGCGTGTGTCTCACATTTATAAAATACTGTATATCTTTGTATGACAGTGCTTCCTTTGTCACTCTAACTGCCCTTTCTGAAGATGAGGGCATTGTCTGTGCATGCTCTTTTAGGATTGCCTTTAAAAATCTTGCCAGTCCTTATGAAATCTATAGCTGCTGTTGGAATATTTTGTTTCGTAAATATATTATACACCTCATTTACTACTTTTTTTTGTTTTTTTTGTTTATTGCAGTGAAACAATCTTTAGACAATTGTGCAATTAGGTGCTGCAGGGAGGGGGGTCAGATCCCCATCCATTGTTAAAGCGAATAGTAGTCCATAAGGCTAAACCTATATTCATGTATAATTGGTGTTGGTTATTTGCTATAGACTGTGTGTTATTTTTGTTATAATAAAATTCATTATAAATCTTAAATACATGGTCTAAGATGTTTCATAGAAAACATGGGATGTAAGGATGTAACTGCCGTTACATCCTACTTAGAGGGGTCCAACTTTTTTTGCAATGAAAGAAAAAAAATACTGATAGAGGTGTGTGTGTGTGTGTGTGTGTGTGTGTGTGTGTGTGTGTGTGTGTGTGTGTGTTATATATGTGTG